GGAAATATTTTAGTATGTGTTTGTTTGTATGTTCTCTTGCCATATTGGACATGGAGAGTGGGACTTTTAAAAGCACTCAGCATCACTCTGCCCCTACTGAAATCAAAGGGACATTTCCCAAAGGGGGAGAGAGTGCTAGGGAAAATAAGGGAGAAAAAGGAGGGAAAATTGAAACAAACCAAACCAAAATTGAAAAATCAAACGAATCATTCATTTTGAATGAAAAAGTGAAAAAAAAATTGTTTTGACACCATTTGTTTGGAATGGAAACATTTTTTTTAGCTGTGCCATCAACAAAATCAGAAGGTTCAGTGAAAAATTTCACTTGACATTTGTTTGAGACGTTTCACAGAAAAGAATTCCCATTTTTCCATTAGCCCTAGTCATCCCCTCTCAGGAGACATGCAAATAAAGCGGTGATGGGTGCCAGTATAGGAACCAGACAGACAGATTAGATGGGCATGCATGGGGATAGATAGAATCTTTTATGCCATAGGTGTTTCCAAAGTTTTTAAATCAAAGTTAGAGGCCCTTAGTGAAGTGACTATATATTATTGCTCAATGTGAAAGCTAGTATATACTCAGCAACAATAGCTTACCCAAAACCTTGAACAATGCTAGCTCTTTTTTTGAGAAAGAAAATGTTGGCAAGGGCACTGGGGTTATTCTTTACTCTTTTTTCCAAAAGGTGGCCAGGTGTTATCTGGGAATCCCAGTTGGCTTGGGAGTCCCAAAGAAATTCCAAAGGAATGACAGATGAGATTCCAAAAAAACCCAGACCCCCGAGATCTTTAATTTCCAACTGAACAGATTTCCAAAGGACAGATTTAATTATTCAGATTAATTATTCAGACAAAGGACAAAACTTCTAGCTATGCAGCCAGCCCCTAATACTGTACAGCATTGTCAATGTTGGGTATCTTCTCGAGCCCACGATCTTTTAGGCATGCTCTAATATATTTATTAAACTTCCCAGTTAACAAAGCTATTTTAAGCTTAATTTGCACACCTCTGTGTGTGTGTATTAGTAAGTAATAAGCATCCACCAAATATTCGCAACAACTCATAAAAAGAAAATTAAAATTCAGGTAGAGGCCTCCGTATTTCAACCTCAGGTTCTAAGGGTTCTGTCATCATTGATTGCAAAGGCAGCTGAGCAAATGTAATGTCCTAAAACACAAAGGGCTTGTTCTTTTAGTTTCTTCAGATCCTGGCAGGAAACAGAGGACCTGCTTCAGTGCCCTCATACAAGATTGCATCAATACTTTTAATTCCTTTGTCCTAGCCTGTATGGCCAGACTTATAGTAGAGAAAGAAAAAAAAGAAAGAAAGAAAGACTCTGACCTTCAGAACACATGTCTGGTGTACTGAATGTAGCCACCTCTTATACTCTCTTGGGGTCCATCACTCAAGTTAGGATAGCGTTAGAAATCCCAGTAATGTATGTCTCCAGCCTTGATCTCCCCTGCTAGGAAATAATAAAGCTGCAACAAAATTTGGATTGTGATAGTAGGCCAGAACTAAGTTGATGTCCAGAAAAAAATAACCAGGTGATAAAACAACCCAGGAAAATGTCTCCGAGTACCCAAACGCTCTGAGTGCAATAAATAAAATACTGTTTTATTAAAAATACTAATTAAAAGTACAGGTAAGTAAAGACTTGGGCCTGCAGTACAGTGATTTCCATCAGTGTTTTGTCTGCACTGTGCCTCTATGGTTTCAACTTGGATTTGATCCCAGAAAGAAAGAGGGCTAGATAGTATGGCCAGTATTACTCAGGTGGCTCTGCTTGCCTTTTCCCAACCCTGGGAGGACGATTCATGGATATGGAGGGCTGAGGATGGAGATTGGGTAGGCCGGGTGAATAGCAGCTGTGGAGGAGTGGTTAGGGCAATGTTGGGCATGCTGAGCATGGGAGACTATTGTCCCTTACTCCAGCCCTGTGGAGAAACGCTGGTGAGGATGATAGCCCCAGGCAGTGCTAACTTTTCTATGCCCCCACCCCTGGAACTCCCAGTGGCAGCTGTTGGCGGTGATTTGCGTCAAGAACTGTGCACAGATAGCCCGGACTTCCTGCATGGATCCCTGGAGCCTGCCAGCAGCGTTCATGGGCCACAGGGTCTTTTCTGTGGGGTGCAGGGCATGCGCCACCTTCTGAATATGCAAAGTGGGGAAGTGCAGAAATTTCCTCCTCTGAGACACCACTCCTAGCCCACCGATTTTACCATGACAATGGATAATCTGGGCCTCTCAAGTGAGTGCAGTTTGTCTCCCCCTAGAAACTAGCAGTGTGGAGGTCTCATGTCTCCACAGTGGCTTCCAGGTGCCTTGGAATGGACCCATGCTGCCTGGCTTCCCTTGCTGGTGGATGCACCCAGAAATCCCCATCCAGGGGTATACCAAGAGCAGAAGTGATTCTTCACAGCAGTTGGTGCTGTCCCAGAATGCATTGCGTTTTACTTGGATTTACCACTGGTATCCTCTGAGATTAACCAACACATGGCCCTCTGTCCCTCTTTTCTCCTGAAGTTCCCTGACCCCATAACTCTCTGGGTTGGGAGAGACCCATGCAAAGACAGCAACCTCCACAAAGAAATCTTTAGGGGACAACCCCTCCTCTTTGGGGATTTGTCTCTTTTCCATCTCAACGCTGTATCCTTCTCAGGGCAACAGACAACCCATGTAAATAAGGGTTCCAGGATTCAGTGTTTTAGACAGTGGCTAGGAATTTAGCTCAAGCCTTTATTTCTGGAAGAGGAATATTCATTTATGTATGGCACATCATACTGGATAACAAAAGGCAGAGAAAGCAAAAATGCATAATTAAAATAATTCTTTCTTCTTTCAAGCAAAGAGCTAAAGGAGATTAAAGTGAAGTTGTTATGGAAAAGATGCAATACAGGTCAAGGACGTTGCTGTTTGAATTCTAGAATTCAACTCCTTTAAACAAAATATGGGTTTAATAATGCGATATCAAGCAAATCTGACCATTTTCTAATTGATTATAAAACATTGTTTCTTTTTGCTTTCCACTGCATCAGACTTTTAAGTTAAAAAGCCCAGCATCCCTTTTAAAATAAATAGATTTGAATAATCTACTTTGAAATCAAACTTTGATGCACTTAGAAACCATTTTAGATGATCTCAGGACACCAATTAACACTCTCATCATCAGATTCCAGAAGTGGCAAATTCCTTGAGGGCTGCTGCTTAAGAATATTAATAAATAATAATCTTCAGACACACACCTTTAAGATTTGTAAGGCCCTATTCTCTCTTTTTGTCTTTATATGTACATCTCAGTATCCAGCCCTTCCATTAGGAAAAATGCACTTTGATATCCTGTGATTTCATCTAGGCGGAGATTTGCTTAGCTTACATTTCACAGCTGCCCTGATGTCTGACCATGGCAAAACGTCTACGTCTCACTTTTTATGGCTGATGAACTGACTGGCCTTATTCCTGCACTCTGTTCACACACACAAGAAAGGACCTGTTTCAGTGTTCTCATGAAAAATTGTTGAGACTAGGGTTGATATTTTCAAAGTTTACTAGGGGATTTAGCCACTCAACTTAATGGGAGTTGGTGATTGAATCCCCCCATCTGCTTTGAAAATCTCTGCCCAGCTCTAGAAGGCCCCGATTCTGCAAAGAAGCACATGCTTAACTTTTATGCCTTGGCCACATGCCCCCATAAGGGACTATTCCCAGTGTGTAAAATTAAGGACATGCATAAATCTTTGCAGGGTCTCAGCCCAAGAGAGAAACTCTCTTGGGACAACTGCCAATCCTAGGGGCTGATCCAAAGCCCACTGAAGTCAATGAAAGCCAGGGGTATTTAGGTGCCCAACTCTCATTGATTTCAGTGGGAGTGAGGAGCCTAAATATTTTTGAGGATTTGGTCCTTAGTGCCTCTGGCAAAAGATTAAGCACCTACAATTTCCTTTATATGTTTATTTTCTGGAAAGGAACAAAACCTGCCTTTACATCAACAACATGGGAGGTGAGCTGAGGCACTCTGAGATTGGCTTTTCAGGGGAGTAGTATTAGAATTATACACTAGAACAGATTAATTTCCATGGAAGCGTAACATTTTCCATACATCGTTTTCTTGTTATTAATTATAATTACCTTTTATATAGCTATATCTGGTATTGTATAAAGGTATCTGGCACCTTACAAACACAACCCCAATCCTGCCACTATGCAACGGGAATTGTGTGTCTCTGTGGATTCAGAGCCGTCTCTGGACCTTAATCTTGGATTGCGCAGGGTTAGTTTCTCAGTGGGATGTTCAGATTTACTCTGACAGTCTGGGGCCTGTTCCCTGGGCCCTGAAGTCCATGGAAGTCTCTCCGCTGGGAATTGGTGTGCAACAAATACAACTACTCTGTAAGGAAATATGCTCTTTGACTGAAAGGCATTTTTAAAGGTTATCAAGTGACAACAAAACACCCAAAGTTAAAACAACAATGTGATCAAGACTATGGGCAGTGAAGCAATGAAAATCTGCATGCAAATTGTCATTCTGGATTATTAAGCAGTGACGCAGCAGAAAGCAATTTTTGTGAGGGCAGGAAATTAGACACACTAAAGAGCAAAAACTAATATTCATTGACGGAGCTGCTGCAAAGGAGACCAGGAGGCATTTTTCCTTTTGGTGGAGGATAGCAGAGAAGCAGAATGGGAAGGTTACTCCTCAGGCAGATGATAGATACCTCCAGCCAAGATTTTTAATAATGAGTGCCTCAAGTTAATCTCCTAAACCTATATTTAGACACGTAAATGGCCTGATTTTCAAAAGTGCTGAGCACCCAAGCAGCATCAATCAGAGTTGTTGGGTGCACCTCACTTTTGAAAATCAGGCCACTCAACTAGGCAATTATATAAGAATTGAGGAGCCTAAATTATAGGCAGTTATTATTGACAGTGTTGGCCCTCCTTTCTTACCTGGTAAAACAAAAACCTTTCAATAGATTTCTATTTGTTTGTTTTCCTAGGCCAAATTTACAGAAGACTGCAAGTTCAGGGAGAGGTTTCAAGAAAACAGCTATAACACATATGCTTCGGCAGTTTACAGGACCGAAAAGACTGGTAGAGAATGGTATGTGGCTTTGAACAAGAGAGGCAAAGCCAAAAGAGGCTGCAGTCCCCGGGTGAAACCCCAGCACATCTCCACCCATTTCCTTCCAAGGTTCAAACAGTCTGAGCAGCCAGAACTGTCCTTCACCGTCACTGTTCCTGAAAAGAAAAAGTCACCTGCCTCCACCCCAGCAAAACCAAAGGTTTCATTGTCCGTGCCTCGGAAGAACCCCAACACTGTTAAATACAGGCTGAAGTTTCGCTTTGGATAGCGGTTAAACGGATGGCTAGAGAGGAACACTTTTCTCAGGAGCTGCTGCGTGCGTGTGTGAGTCCTTTGCTTACAATGGCAGATAGGGCCTTGATCGCACTTAGCCGCATTAGGAGGTCAGACAGGGAGATACCCATTTGTTTCAGTTTGACCCCAGCCAAATTGCTTTTTGATAGTCAAGAGTGTTAACTGAACTGGAATTCTTCATCTAGCCCTAGGGAGGAAAGCAGTGGTTCAGGTCAAATGAACATCCAGGCTTTTGTTTTTTGCCTTAAATAGCATTCTCATTTTCCTACTCTCCAAAGCATTGGGATGGGACTGTACATTTTGAAACAATGTCTGATGGATCCGTTTAATTTTTTTGCTTTCCAAAGAATACACTTTTGGGGTCGATAAACTATTTTATGAACTTCTGTTTACTTTGGTTGTCGGAAGCAACAAAAAGGTACCTCTACACTGAACATATTTTCTTACTTTCACTGTTTTAACGAATGACACTTTTTACAATCGTTTTCATATGAGAAATTTGTTCAGAGTCAAGTTATAATTTATAAGGATTTTGTTTTTCTGCATCTTCTCTTTTTGCTGCACTTTTTACTTCTGACTGTACCTCAAACTCGTATATCCAAATCTGTCTTTTTTTTAAAGTTTGATTCCTCTCCTCTTAGAAGTCAACTCTTTTTTAAAAAAAACCACAACAATCTGTACATTGTAATTTGTGCCGTGATGTTGAATCCTTTCTTTCTTTTTTATTTGGGAAGGATTTTCTTTTATCCAAAGGAGATAATGCATTTTAAGTTTATGGAGGGGAACGCTTCATTTATAAATGACCCTGATTCCAGTCCCCCACTCCTACTCTTTCTTGAACAGCTGGAAGAATAAGTCTTATTCTGTCCATCAAACTATCATTTCGAAGTCTGTGTTTAAAATACCTCTGTCATGACCCTGTGGCATTCCTGCTATTATAGGTCCACAGGGATGGAGCTGCTTTTCAGGGGAAACAAAGGGAGGCAAAAGCCATTCCATAGGTGTATCAGATAACAGCCATCAATGTCATGGCCTGTTATCAAATGCTGTCATCATTATACTCAGCAAGTAAATCCCTCTCCCGAGACTCCTACTCCAAAGGTAAATGATTCCTGTGAGTGCATCTGCCTTTTGTAACAAAACGATGGGCTGTGGATTTAAAGGCTGGTCATGTACTACAGGAATCAGTCCTATTCGAAGAACGTGTGAGTTGCTGTTGACATCCAACCAGTGGGCCAAATGGGGTGCAAGGGTGTAACTAAAAGCAGAATTAGGTTCTTTGGGTTGGATCCTAAACTGGTGTAAATCAGCCTCGTTCCCATGGACTTCAATGGAGCCACGTTGATTTATTCCAACTGATCATTTGGCTCATTATCACTCCAAATGGAACATAGTTCTGCAAATGTTTTAACTCATATGATTTATGCGATTTATTTATTTAATTGATTAATATACACTTCACACTGAAAAATGTTTTATTTGATCTTAAATATGGCAATGTGGCAATAAACAATATTATAGCTACTTGAACCTTTGAAAGTATTTTTTCTAGTTATGGTAGAGTGGTGTAGATTTTAAATGTCAATAATTATTCATTTATATTTTTTCTAGTAACTAATTATGCATATAAAAGTATTTTGGACATACACAACACAGCTAGATCTGTGTGTATGTACAAAAAATACTAGAGTTGAAACTGATCACCAATTAAGCCTTAATAGACTTTACAATCGCTTGCATTACTAGAACCAAAACTCTCATATTAACTGTACTAACATATTTTAGTTGCATATCAGTAATAACAAAGCCATGTGCTACTTTCAAATATTTTACCAAAAAATCAATAATCATACAAAATATTATTTCTCTTAAAAGCTTGGCTTTTCATCCATCATTGTTTTGAGTGAGTTCAAGGCCTTTTCCCAAACATTTCATTTAATACAGTTTAAATCTAAGCATACTACATAGTGTCTTTATTTTTAATAATGGGAATAAAGAGATTTTGCCTACATGCATACACTATAGATACCGCAAGAGATGGTGATGCCATAATAAAGTATAACTGTGTTTAATTTTAAAACATAGTTGTGTAATTTCTCTTTTCTTCTGTCAACTATCCTACAATGTTTTTATTGAATATGAAGAATGGATGTTGCTAAATTAGCTACTACACATGTTTCTATTAAAGGGTTTGGCAGGAGATAATATTGTTGACAGTAAAGAGTGAGGCAAAATGAGCATACATACTCCTTTTGTACTACATGCTCCACATATTTTACATGATGACAAAAGAACCCAATCACTTATCTTGTACACTTATTTTGACTTGATTAGCAACAGCAAAGTTAAAGCAGAACAACACAGATGTGTTATGCGGGCCCGTGCTCATTAATTTCAAATGCTAAAGCCAAACTAAAATTAAAAAATTCAAATTGCACTTCTTATCTACAGTTTACCAGCCATACACAATTACATATAATTAATGTTCAGTGAAGCATAGGGCTACCTAAATTAACTAATTGAATGAACACATATGCAGAAGCCATATATAATACAACACCTTCCTAATCCTCATTACCCAGGGGATCTACACATACAATACGTGGATGGTTATGTCTGATGTCAATAAGCAGAACTGTCTTTACCGGTAGAATAATAACAACCAAAATATAGTCAGGATTTGCTATGAAATGTAATTGTCTTCTATCACAAAACACAAATTAAAAAAATTACATTTAGGGAAGAATCTTTGCAGATAGCCCAGCCTGTACAACAAAGAACATTCTTCTCTTTTATCTATGTATTGCCCCTCATAACAAATCCAAAATCCAGCTGTAACTTTAGTGTCACATTTTAGTAACAGCAGCTACCAGAATAAACAGATCTCTGTGTCCCTGGCAAAAGAACACATTTAAAATTCTTTCAGAGATAGCCCATATCCTGCCACAAGAAGGGCCACCAATTTTACCAACTAGGTCCCCAATCCTGCAAGCACTCATGTGCATAACTTTACCCATGTGAGTAATCCAATGGAGATAATTATGATTTCTATGACTATAAGAACCTCAGTCAGGGCTGAGGGCACCGTGGTACAACCCCACCCGCACAAAGACAGTTCCTGCTCCAGGGAGCTCACATTCTAAGATAAACCATGCTGTTTCACTGTCAGACTGGCATCTCTTTTGCTTAATAAGATTTTGAGTCTGAACAAACTGACCACCACTTGTGGAACAAAACAAAACATAGATTTTGAAACCAAATGAAAATTGACTGTTTTGCCTGTTTCTACTCACAGTGAAATTTCCATCCCTTCATCAATCCATTGGATTGTTGCCAATGCTTGGATTCTATTTAAGAGAGCTTGATTTATAGGGACAACCTATTTATAGCAGAAAGGACAACTTTTATCCCTGTATTAGAGAGCTCATGTTAGACTATGATCCTGCAAACATTTAAGCACATGAATTACATTACTCACATGTGCAGTCCACTGAAATAAAGGCTCTGACCCTGCAGCCCATAGGAACTTGGGCATGACTCATCATCAAGGGAACTCTTTCAATGGTTTTAATAGGAGTTACCCTGGGACCTGAAGAAGTCCCGGATCAGTGGGACTACTCCCACGAGCAAGGGTTGTAAGATTGGACCCACTATCATCACGATATCTGCTTTGTTATTTTGCAAGCCATATAAACTGTTCTATTGGAATATCAGAAGGTGTCCGAATAAATTTTACTTTTAATTCAGTAGTCAATGTGGTTAATTCCACTAGACTAGACACCCCCCAGCACACAGAAGAAGGGATCTCTCTATATCCTACAGAGAGATTAGCAAACATGTAATCTCACAGTTATAGGTCCAGTTCAAATGTGTTTCTCATTAAATCTTTTGCTATTCCCTCTGTGGGAAGTGGAGAATTTCTCAGATTTCAGTGCAGTCAGGTGAAATTCTGCTGAGGAAGCAATACCAGGCTTCTTTTTTCTCCAGGGTACAATTAAACCAGTGCTTCCCTAGCAGTATTTTACCTTACTGTGGGGTTCTTTCTAGTGCATTTAAATTCCACAGAGTTCAGTGCCTTTTTACTGGATGACTGCTGTTGTTGATCCCATGGTTCTGTTAATCCGGAGCACACATGGGATTACAGGTGGGGTTTTACGAGATTATTAAAAAATGTTTAAACAAGAATTCTAAACCCCGCAAAATGTATCATGAATAAAATTGTTAGGGGCACAGGAAGGCTGTCCATATGGACCCAATGCCTTCACACCACCTCCATTCCCACGCCTGGAGCGTTTGGCTCTGTTGGAGGGCTGGGATGTGAGGGCTTCTCCCTGCTAAGAGCTGTGCCCAGAATCCCTCTCCAGGGAGGTTTCTTAACTTGGAAGGGGTTCTCTCTGCACTAAAGTTAATGTAGCTTCATGCAGAGAGGGTCACTCCAAGCAGAGGAACCCCTGCTGTCCAGGAGAGGGATTAGTACAATCTGTGGGAAATGATGCATAGTCTATTAGTAGCCCTACCCCCTCCCAATCCCTTTCCTTGTATGGATCTCAGAGCAAGGGATGTCCGAATACAGAATATGAAGTTTGGGTGCAGGTCTAAAAAAAAGTTTCCTTTGATATCAGTAGAAACATTTGTTTTATTTTTATTTTTTTGCTTTTGAGGCTTTAAAAAAATGATTTAAAAAATAATAAAATAGTGAGAAATTCCGAAACCAAATGTCTTTCCAAAATGACAAACCGAAACAGTTCGCTTTGGAAAGGCTGAAATGAACTGTTTTGACATTTACGAATTTCCCCCCATCCAAGTAATTGACTCTAATTCATGTCCACCTAAATCCACATTCTTCAGGGAAAAAAGGTTTTGCACGAAAATTTTGCCCAGCTCTACTCAGGACCCGAGGAAGGCTCTTGGCGGGGGGCAGTGGGGAATTGTGCCATGGGAGGCATCTGATACACCTTGCTCTGTGAGGGGGAA